TACTAATTGCACAGTTAGTATTTTAATGAAATTCATCTTTTCCTGGGTATACCGTATACCCAACAGCCAATTGAATCGGAGGTTTTTGACGCTTCATTGACAAAATAATATATTTTCGCCCAGAATTAGTGATTTAATGCTACTACATTATGTATAAATCAAATATCAATAGGCCCAAACTGCCTTTATCAAGTAGTATGTCATACCTCTATTATCATTCTCATTATACATATAAAAGGCATATTCACGCTACCTAGTAGTGGAAAAATGTATAGCTTCGCTGACGACACTCCTATTATCTCAATTGTTCCTTCGTAGACCAAACTAATATCTCATCACTGGAAAACTGAACTGGTTCAACCATATGCACCTTACTATCGACTTTGAAAACACTGCTACTACTGCTATAATGAGTAGCCAATTTCTCATAGCTTACTTAGTTTCAAAACCATGTATTGCTCATACTGTGAGAAATATTTTTTCTCACGGCACTTTGCCAACACGACAAACATTTCCATGGAGAATCAACGAAAATCGATCAAAACTTGATTGGCTGGTGTTCAGCTTTGAATAGTTGTCATAACTGTCAGAAGAAGATTTTTCAATTGTTTGGGGTAGTTCTCAATAGTGCTTTTGATGAAAATCGCAGTTCCCATCAAATATATTATTTCAACAATTCATAATGAATAATATGATGCATATACCAAGATGTGACGAAAAATACACCGCCAGAGCCTGAAATAATGGAAAAAGCTGCGAAAGTTGGATTTGTTTCCGGAAATTTCAAGAAAAAAGTATGTTTTTTTTTAAGTATGATAAATTGACATTCATCATACACTGAGAAAAACTGGTTAATTAAAACGTCTAGTTGGTATTTTTTTAGTACCGATAATTAAAAATATTTGGAATTTTATTAACAATGACAACGTATCCTTATTTCCTACAAATGACTTTTCTATTTTTCGCCAATTATTTGTCATCAATAAAAATACTATTTGTGACAGAATTATCACAGTGTTGTCTATTCAGTCAAATAAAATCTCATATTGGGGTTGAAAAATCTCATTCTGGGGTTACTAACAACAGCTGACTATTTGCCACAACTGATGACACATTTATCGTAAAAGGTTAATTATTATTCATAGCAGAAATTGTTTAGCCATAACTAATAATTTTAGTTGTACTGCGTCGTTCGGGACCGCCTCGCGTCTCTTCGGGACCCACCGGCAGAAATTGCATCTTGCATCTGTTTGTCGTTCTGTTTCATCATTTGAACTTGTATCTTAATAGTGGGTAGATCGCACGGTCGTCGAGCTTTGACAAAATGAATAAAATAATTGTCTAGTGTAGCCGGGAGCGTCGTGTTCTTGCTGGTTCACTGCTCTGTGTGTTTTAAAATCACTGTTTCGTGTTTTTTTGCACTTCGCGCTGAGCCATTTGGCATTTGGTTGTCAGAATAATAATTCGCAGTTTACCATCGTTATCTGTGCGTCACTAGTTATCAGGTTTAGGTACCTATTCACAATTCAGTTCAGTTTACGACGGGCGACGGTGAGAAACGTCCATCCGACGTCATGTGTACACGGTGTATATTTATAATTCCCTCTCTTTTTGCTGAGCTGTGGCCTGTGGCACTTACGGTGTGTGGTGTATTCCTGTTCACGATTCCATTGGAAATTGGAAGGAAAATGGCATACAAACTGTTAGTATTAGAATGAGGCCTTGATTTTAATTGATATAAAATTATTAAGTTGCCAGAATAACTAAATTATATTTCAAACATTACTAAATCACTTTTAATAGTAACTAGATTCCATTTCAGTCACAATTAAATATTTAATTTGCAACAACACACACTATTAACGTCAGAAGAAATGAGTAATTGCCCCAACTGGGATAATTTGTTGTGATAACAAACATATATTGAGACAGTACTAACAATCTAATTGACATAACTATGTATCTTGATTGTGGCAAATAAAACTTGGTATTATTCCTTAAAAAAGCTTATTAGTTACCACAACAACGTCGTAGATGACTCAACTAAACTTTTCATTTGAGGCAAATAGGCGTTTCCAGAAAAACAGAATTAGTTATGGCAACAACTAATGCTTGCTGTCCCCTATCGTACTAAAAAAAAATTCTGTAGTTACTAATTTTTTAGTAACGGCTACAAATTTTTTTCCTCAGTGTACAGGACGTGGAATGAAATTCTGAATTGAGAAAAACCTAATCACGAAACTGCGATTAAGGTCTATAAAAATAACAAGTTTCCATAGTTCAAGTTTGAACCCCTTGGTTGGGTGAAAATATTGAAAAGGAACATTCTAAGATATATTTATGAACAAGAAAAAATGGATATATATAAAAAAAAACATTGAGAATTCGCATTGTCCATGTTTTTTTTTTTTTATCGCTTGGAGCGCACGAAAGGGAATCCCTATAATGTTCAAAGAACATCGTGCGTTCCTAGGGAGGATAAGGATAGGAGGTAGGTATTGGAATTTTTTTGAACTTCTGGAGATTATATGTTGTTGGGAATACTTCCTCAATTGTTTCACGGTTTAATCAACAGAAAACAACTACTTTCCTGGCTATATGCCACAAACTTCCACACTCGTGGAAAAAGTTGAACTTTTTCCACTTGTTGCACAATATACTATTCCTGAAAGCGTGAGAAATTATTTGATTCATCGAATGCAAATAGAAACAACTAACAAGAGTGATATATTTTTATCTTCTGATTATAAGTGAAATCTATTGTGAATGTACAGTTCATTGCGGAAGACAGCATGCCCATATTGTGTTTGGCCTCTCGGTGCAAGACATTTCTAGGAAATGAGCCAAAACTACTCATTCTTTATTCAGTGTTTTTATTTTTTTGTTGTTGCACTACCCAACTCACTAAGAAGTCATCTATATAAAATGGTTAAGAAGCAAATCCATGACTGGATAATTGAGAGCCAAAATATCTACCTATTGAAAACTCTAACTAAATGGTTTTTTCAAATAGGGTAGATTAATAATCATTACACACAGATTTCAAAATCCATTGTGCTGATAATATTCACTATAGTTAGGTGATTACATAAACTATTATAATGAGAATGAGGAATGTTTACTATGTACCTGAAATACTGAATGAAATGAATAAATAAATAGATAAACTGAGAAAAGATTATTGGACACAGCCCTCAGGAAGAGTATACTGTAGACACATGTTTCGGGCTTTCGGCCCTCATCAGTACGGTATGAAAGAAGTGCAAAAGATAGGCAACACTTGGTGGAAGACGAACTAACATATCGACGGAGTCAACAAACAAGAAGCCAACCGCACATTTGTGGTTTCGGTCAGAAGACCCTGCATTTCCAGGGCTACATCTCACGTCACCACGGAGGCAGCTATGGCTACCTGCGTGAAAATGGAAATGCATGGTCTTCTGACCAAAACCACAAATGTGCTGTTGGCTTCTTGTTTGTTGACTCCGTCGATTTGTTTTTTCCTCTTACACCAAGTGTTGCCTATATTTTGCACTTCTTTCATTGTACTGATGAGGTCCGAAAGTTCGAAACACGTGTCTACGGTTGACTCTTCCTGAGGGCTATGTTCAATAATCTTCTCCTAGTTTGCTTTAAACAGTTTTCTCAAAATTCCTTCCATCTTGAATAAATGAATATACAAAATATTAAAAGTTTTCTACCTATAACCGCTACGCCACTGAAACAAATACAGTTTTGAGCCATCCATTCGAACAACCAATGTTTTCTACAAGAAGAATTCGTGGTCATAAGTACTAAAGTTGACCGTTCTTGAGAAAAATCAACATTTATGTTGAAAATTATGGTGAATTTTCAGGAACATAAATTCTTACTAATTGACCGAAGTCTATTTGAACCTACGAGCGAGTACCAAAACCAAAGGTTAACTTCATTCTACGAAATTGAAAAAAAAAAACACAATAGCAAATCATAATAATTGTTGGAAATGTCCGCGGTATATGCACGCAGCAATTTTTAAAAAAATTTACCATGATTATCAACATGAAAGTTGATTTTTCTCGAAAACTATCAAATTAAGAGCCTTTGACCAAAAAAAAACTTTTTTGTGTAGAAAACATTGGCAGTTCAAATAGGTTCCTCAAAACTGTACTTCCTCCAGTGCCGTATAAGTTGAGGAGGAAAACAATCACAACCCCTTCATAATATTAACCAATTATGACCAGAGCATGAAAAAAATCTGCACAAAACATAGCTTATTATGAGTACAAGATGATTACTAAAGCTGTTTTTCGTGCGATAAATGGTTCCCGAAATATTAGATTTTCTTTTCTAATTTCAACGCCCTGTATTTCGAGAATAGTGCATTTCAGAGAAACTTTGTTCCATATTTCTGAACAAGCTATCACATCCTGAAGTTCTGCGCATATATTATGAAACACCCAATATTGCTTCACACACCTTTCGTGAAATATCTTTGGCAATAACGCATCTGTATCGCATTTGTAGCTGGGAGTTTTCATTGATCACTGAATCGAAAATGACAGTAACGCTGTGTCTGTCACTCCGACAATTACAAACCTATTTGTGGTTTAATTGGCATATAGGAAGATTTCTATAACAATCAATTTTTATTTTCCAATATTTTTTTAATTCTATAAATAGTGCAATTTGATCTCGGATTCAATGGATGACTCTGAACGAACATACTGCAACAAACAAGCCGATAATTTTTCATATTCCATCACCAACCACTCATATATTGTGAAAATATTATATCATTGGTTTTTCCACACTAGTGCGGGAATTTTCTGCGTGACGGTATGAGGTGAATCACGCACACGCTTGTAGAAAAAAAAATGTTTCGAAAATTTCTTCGAGCTCTTGCATATTTTGAAAGTTATTTATAGTCGAAGATGAGGGATAATTTTCAAAATATCGAATGAAATTCGAATGATTCAACCTCTAGAGGTTTCAAAAATGAAAATATAGTGCGTACTCACCAAATTTATAAAAAAAATTATATATGGCGAAGGCACCGCAATAACCCGCCTTAGATGGCGTGTCGAATACCGCATCTTCTCTTGATCCTGTAACAACAAAGAACAGATATTGATAGGAGAACTATATAGTGCCCGTCTAAACTTCGTTTCGCCTACTGATTTTTGAACCACCTGGTGAAAATCATGAAAAAATGACACCTGGATGTAATGAAATGGTGGCCGAGCCCCATGTTGAATTGATTTTTCAAATGGTATATTTTTCCATTTCTGAAATTTCTCTACAATTCTCAACAGTTTCAACGCATACACCTCACTTTCAAGTTATGTGTTTGAAATGGTGCGAACATAACAAAAACATGTTTGTTATGATTATCAAGTTATCACTTATAATTGCACAAGAGCTAAAAAATTACAGATAATTTTGCAAGAGAGCGTGTTATTCGAAAATTGCAAGTGTAAAAACTTCACAAACGTTAAGATTTCTACAAAATTCTCAAACACACGACTTGTTTCGCTAACATAGTAGCTTCGTAAGGTGATATACTAGTACAATGAACTGAACTTACCTTGGCTTGCTTAACTTTTATATATCCTACTTTCCCAACCTGAAGAATTAGTAATTTCTATAAACCTCTATTTTCGGAAATCAGGGACAATATCTACATTAAAATACGGTGTACCGGATCGACTTGAAAGGGTTGATAGCAAATACATATTATTACCTACTAAGTAAACAAATTCAACAGTGGTAAACTATTGATGTCTAATTGATCATCAAGTAAAATGTCAGAATTCTCAAGTTTGTTGATTTCTAATGATTCAAAATGATTGAGTTTCATTCCTTCATTTTCTACATGTAGAATTCAGAAATTATCAACAAAACTATGGTTTTCTTCTGATATATAGTTGGCGTGAGTTGAATTTGTTTTCTTTTTCAAAAAAAATCATCTTATATTCATGAATGCGCTGATTAAACGTACGACTTGTCTGACCGATAAACACCTTAGGACAAGATCCACAGTTGAGTTGGTATACCCCTGATTTTTCGTATTTAGAAGTTTTGTCTTAATGATTCATGATAAACCTTCTCAACGTGTAATTTTTTCTATATGCTACTTTCAAGTCCTGTGTATGTAAAAATAAAGATAATTTTTCAGTTGATGATCCGAATTAGGTTAAAGCTCTATAATTTTGATTATCATTCATGATATCGAGTTCTTTATTGAAATTCACTTCCAAAAGACATTTACTCAACTGTGTATCGTATTATATATGCTGCAATTTTGAAATTGAAAATCATGTTCATCATCAATTTTACTCATTGTCAAATCTGAGAAATTGATTGACTTTTCAGCTTTTATTTCCATTGTGAATTTAGAGTCTAAATGAATAGTGAAAATATATCAGTGAAAACTGTCTAAGTGTCTATTGGATTCTTGAAAGCGTAATACAGTGTGTCCCACTTACCATGCTCACCATGGGTATCTTTTTAACGGTGAGAGATACGAGGTCGGTTAAATGACAACAAATGTGGAGTTTGCCAAGGCCAACTATAATGTGAAAAAATATTTTGATAAAATCTATTCGTTTTTGTTTTATACGCAAAAAACAGATTTTGATAATTTTCATGTCTCCTCCGTAACTTCTTTATTTATGAAAATATTCAAATAGGAATTTCACACTCTCATGGCAGTTTTTCAAAGTGATTTCGAAAAAAATATTAAATTTATACCAACTCTTCTAGAATTTGAGATTTTAGTTTTTCAAATGTAGGTCATAGCTCACTATGACTTAGTTAAAAATAACTTTTTTTTTCTCTTCCAGATGATATGTCGCAGTATATAATAGTTTTGTGTTGATAACAACGGAGTTATCGTCATTTATACAAAAACAAAAAATTATTTGGAAGCCGCCATCTTGAATTTATAAATTTTAACAAAAAAATTATGATCTCCGACCTCGAAAACCCCCACTTACCAATTTTGGATCGAATCGGACCAAATCATGTCCGCCATCTTGGAGCAGTCATTTTTTTTAATTGATGGCGGACAAGATTCGGTCCGATTCCATTCAAAATTGGTGAGTGGGGGTTTTGAGGTCGGAGATCATGATTTTTTTGGCGGCTTCCAAATAATTTTTTTTGTATAAATGACGATAACTTCGTTGTTATCAACACAAAACTATTACTGCGACATATCATCTGGAAGAGAAAAAGAATTTATTTGTAAATAAGTCATAGTATGACCTACATTTGATAAACTAAAGTTGGTGCTGATATCTCAAATTCTAGAAGAGTTGGTATAAATTTCATATTTTTTTCGAAATCACTTTGAAGAACTGCCATGAGAATAATAAATTCCTATTCGAATATTTTCATAAATAAAGAAGTTACCGAGGAGACATGAACATGATCAAAATCTGTTTTTTGTGTATAAAACAAAAACGAATGGATGTTATCAAAATATTTTTTCACATTATGGTTGGTCTTGGCAAACTCCACATTTGGTGTCATTCAACCGACCTCGTATCTCTCACCGTTAAAAAGATACCCATGGTGAGCATGGTAAGTGGGACACACTGTATAACGTCATCTACGTATCTATACCAATACAAACATTGTTTTATCAATGAATCTTTATGTATTATTCGCTCCAAGTTATCCATGAGAATTTCAGCAAGTAAAGGGCTCAGTCAATTTCCCATAATCAACCCTTATGATGCGGAATCTATTTTGTTGTCAAATTGAAAGTGATTTTGTTCGAGACATATCGACAGAAGGTCTAAAATCTTTTGTTCGGTAATTGCATCACTATGGTTTCTATCTACTAACTGAAATTATAGAAATTATAGTTGAACGTATTGAGAAATCCTTATAGCTCGAAGTGGGGTGTTAGTGTTTGAAGAAAGAATGAATCTCAAAATCATCTCCACGACATTTAATAGGTGAACGAAGTTATGTTAAAAATAGGGACATGTAAGCTGACGCGCTTGAATGCAAAATTATCTGGTGATTTTTATGCAGGAATGAAATTTAATGAAATGATGGATAATTCAGGAATGGAGGAATTCTCTGAGAAATGTAATTTTTTTTCACTCTTCGATATCTGCCTGACATGTATTTGTATTGTTTACTAGTGTCTAGCGACACGGTTTTAAATGTGTTGTCATGGCAACGGTATGTTTTCGCAGTGCAAACTACGCTCTGCAGTGCAATTACCGCTGTGATTTTCCGATAATGGCATTGCTCTTATAGGACATTTCATTTATGAAGAGAAGATTCGTAGTAATTGACCGAAAAGAACCTACACAACATTTATAGTAAAATTCGATATTCTCACTCGAAAGGGGTGCATTTTTTCGAGATTTAATGAAATGAAATTCTCCCTATGAAACTGATTCGTTTTTTGATTATATTCAAATATATATTTGAGACTATTTCATAGATACCAGTCGATACGTAATGAAAATCATTGATAACGTCCTGATAAAGCGCCACTAGTATAGATATTTCATCATTGGATTTTTTTTAGCGTATTTTCAGTTATTGAGGGTGAATAAGTTTTTCTTCACTGTCGATATTTTTCTGCAAGAGTGGACGAGCTGTTTATTCTGTTAACTTTGCAAAAGTGTACCACTGTAATTCACCAAGAGAATGCCATTGCAACGGAAAATCTTTCTATTTCAAAGAGTTCGACAAATCCGGTAATATATCAGTGTAAAATATCCATAACGCCTCATGGAAAAAATGTGCTCTATCGGCGCATCTGCTTAACGGGAAAAGTTCTCCACAGGACGCTTGAACTATCTTCAACCATTTCAACTGTGTATTCTATTAATAAGCCTTCCAACTTTCGAATGTTTAACTTAATTAGTCAATATTCCGTAAAGAACGGTAATGGCCATAACAGTAGATGTTTAAAAATTATACGTTATACGTTGTACTAACTGAATTCATTGAGAATCATCTAATCATGTGAATACATTATCTCTACCTACCATTTAAATAAGCACAATAATACAGTGTGATTCTTTTCTCACTGAGTCGACGTGATGAAACACGAAAACTTCATTTGAAGTAGAACGAATGATTATTACACAGAAAAAATACTGGGCTAGCCAAAAATATGAACGATATGTGCGATATATTAGTTTCTCTCCGCTTGGCAGCAAATATTGATTTTGCTGACACATATCAATCAGCAAAGTATTACTTTTCCTGCCTAGGCAGCAAAGTGATTATACTCAATAGGAATAAAACATTTGACGTAAACATTTATTAACAATTATTACATTACACTTTTAACAAGAATTTAAAAAACATATGTTTAGTTGCTATTAACATTGATGATCAAATTACTACAATTTTGAACGAATATTCCACCTTTTCTTTCCTCAGATATCGTTCTCTCTACATTGATTATATTACCAGTTTGATTCGTCTCATGAGAGTTCCTATATTTGTCAAAACTTTTTCACAAATGCTGGTTTTACTGGCCATTGAATCTTCAATGTACCCTTCTGCTATAGTTGAGGATTTCCACCCACCATGTCTTTTCAACATTGTTGTCACCACCTGCATTCACAAGTAAAGTGGCAGAACTTCTGCGGAGGCAGTGTCCCGTATATTCCTTAGCATTCGGCAACTTCAAATAGACAGCTATTTCTTGAGGTATTTTACCAAATTCATGGATTCCAACGAATTGCTTTATGGATTTACCTTTTGCGTATTTGAAAAAAAATCTTGTGTCTTTTAATTCAGCAGGCCGAAGAGCTATATATTTTCTAACAACATCCAAATATTTCATTATTACGAAAGACCTCGAAATCTTCGTCTTCGTGTTCAATAAGGATACCAATAGTTTATTGTTCATATCTTCAATATTTTCTAACTTTAAATTCAAAAAATCGTCGCAGCGACATGCACCCGCAATTCCAAAAATCAATACAACCTAAAAGAATGGATTATAAGTATTTTCACTCCATGGTATAGATATATTATTCAAAACTTACTTCTGCCAATAAATATTCATCATCTGGTGCATCCAGTCTGAAGTTTGTAATATCTTGTTTTTTGAAAACTCGGGACT